TGAAAATGTAATTTCATAAAAAGAAAAAAATTTCAAACTTTAAAATAACATCAAATTCTAGTGTTTACGTGTGAATTTTTGGATTTTTCGATATTTTTAGGATAACTTAAAAAAAATGAAATAATTAATATAAAATACAAAGATAAATCCAATTTTAAAAATTTATAATAAAATAATATTTTTTAAAACGTTATTTTTATTTTTTATATATTAAAATTGTTGTTCAAATTATTACTTCAATTAAAAGAATAATTCACGACATGAATTGAAGCACACCTTCAATCTTGAAAAACAAAAGATAATAAAACCAAAGTTATCCGTTGAATAATTTATTTAAATATTACTCGTTTTATATATATATATATATATATATATATAAAACAATTAAAAGAATTCCCCCAAAAACGTAAAATTCCCGCTGGTCCGAATTTACAGCGAAAGTAGTTTCTTTTATGTTTTTTAAAATTAAATAAATGTAAGAGGAGGATAAAGTAAGAAAGAGACCGTTTCCACGGTGTTACTTTCTTGAATCCGGTACGTCCACGTGTACTGTGCGGTCTTTCTACGACACGTGTCTTATTCCTAATGAGGAATCCGAGTGCCCTCGTTTCCACCAATCACAAATCACCCTATTGCCTTGGTCAATTTCGGATATTTTGATCCACGTTCATGCTTCCCTCTATCCATCGTCATCAAAACTCTTTATTCCAGTGCTACTTTCACCATCCAAAGCCTATTTTTGTCTTTTCAATATCCAAATAATCAAAACCTATTTCAATGCACGATTTATACCATTTTACCAAAAAAGCTATCAATTTAAATATTTCAAGGAAGTTAGATAATAAATATTGGGTTTTTTACTTTATTATGATTTCACCTTAATTTTATAAGATAAAAACACTGTTTTTGTTACTTCAAATATTAGCTTAAGCTATAATTTATTGAAATTTACAAATCATATGCCGTAATGTTACTCTGATTTAGTAAATAAATAATTGAATTAAATATTTTTTATTATTATTCTTATTTTGGTAAGGTTAATCTGAGTTTGATTTCGATATTATTTCAATGTATAAAATCTATCATGCATTACAAAGCTTTGCAGGTTGGATCAAGTTTAAGTTAATTATAAAAAAATAAAAAAAATAAAAAACTCAATCCTAGGTAGGGTTGACTTATGGGTTATCCAACTGAATATATATTAATATGTATAAAAATGTAAAAGCCAATAATCAAATAAAATTATACATAAAAAGTTATTATTTAACAGATAGATAAGTTTTTTTCATTATTTTTGTATTTTTAACTGTGTTTTACTATTATTTTTAAAACTAATGATAGTCAAAGTGAGTTATGTTAACCTTTAATTATTTAACAGACGTTGAAGTTTCTTTAATGTTAAAAGGAGCTTGAGATCCCTATTTTTTCTTAATATATATATATATATATATTGTTTTTTATATAAAAATAATAATTTATTATGGTTTATCTGTTAATATTTTTTAATAGTTAAGTAAAAGTTTATCATTCGTTGATATAATACTTTTATATATATATATATATATATATATATATATATATATATATATATATATATATATATATATATATACACGTTATTACTAACGTAGTTATATTATACACGTGAGCGTCATGACAATCTCATGTTCAATATTATTATACCATTAGCATTATAATATTATTTATTCAGTATAGTATTAACTCATTTTTAAGATAACAGAGGGAAATTAAATTGATATTTAAAAAACGTGAAATAAATTTAATAAAAATAAATAAATAAATACATAAATGTATTTATATTTTAAATTAAATAATATCTTTTAAAATTGAGAATGTGCTAAGATCCATCTCATCTGCACCATTTTATCTAAAAAATGCATTTCTTTAGAATTACCTCAAATTGAGTTAGAGATAATAAAAATGGTTAATTCCGAATGAGGAGGCATCTAAGTCATGCATACATAAATTTTGTAGGTATAGTTTACCTTTAATTTTTGCTTTTTAATATTAACATCAATTCTATTATTTTAAAATAACTTTTTTATAAACACATTATCATGCATACTAATTAAATTTCACTAAAGACCATAAAATTATTGACTTTTACATTGTATAATAAACACATTACTTTTTACTTCTTTAAATAAATTATAATTAATACAAACGCTGTACCGTATTGACAAGCGTGTTGGCCTCTTTTTCAATTCACTTTAAAATTCAACGAGTTATCATAATAAGAAAAAACTAATTGATATTTATTGAATTAAACAATACAATAAAATCATGTATTATTTCCACTTCATATAAAGAAAATAAAACAAATTGATGGATAAATATTACAATTTGATTCTCTTACATCCACAAATGTAAAAGTATTTTGAAATATATTTATTTTTTACATAAAAGTATCAACGTTTAACAAAAATCAATTTTTTAGAACCACTTATTTACTTTACATAAATTATTATAATAAAAAATAAAATAAAATATTTATAAAAATATTAAATTAAAATTTAAAACAAAAAAATTTAAAACATATATTGTCCATTTTAAAATATATCATACACAAAAATTTAAAATATATCTCCATCAAATAAATTATTACTAAATTCAAAATTATGATTAATTGAAATATTATCACATGCATTTTTTTATAAATGTAAAAACATATAATAACTAAAGGTTATTATTTTTATACATGACTAACAGGACATGCAACATTATAAGTTATAGTGACTAGGAAACAAAAAATTACATTTCAATTTAATATTATTTTAACTATAAATTTCTACATACTTTGAGATGTTCACTATTCTTCTTTACAAAAAATTGCAACACTAATATATATATATATATATATATATATATATATATATATATATATATCTAAATAGTTTTTATTAAATTCTTAAAAATTCATCATTATTTCACGTACAACATTATCTATATTATATTTAATATTACTAAAAACATGGCAATGCTAATCTACCTCTTTGATATTGAATATAAGGGAATATCGACGCATATACTAATAATAATATTTAATATTTTATTCATTTTTTTAAACAATATTTATTAATACATTATCTTCATTATTAATGATTTTTTAAATTTCATTATCATTGATTATTAATAAAATACATCTATTCATAATATCTAATAAGAAAAATTAATACACTATAAAAACTAATATATATATATATATATAATATCATTTTTAAATTATACCTTATATTAAAGATGAGCATTAAAATTTTAAATTTAATGATTTATATTTTATTTATCAATACATGTGTCATGAATATTAAATACTAAGATAAAAATATTTAATGTTTTTAATTTTATTTCATAAATCATAAATTCTTATCATATTTTTATGTGAATAATTTATGTAAACATTCCATTTCCAAAGTAACGTCGTTTTGTGTGTATTATTTTTTTAGAAGTATACATTTTGTTCTATGTATTTTTAATTTATTTTTCTCTAAAAAATTTAAATAACTAATGTAAATATTCATACCTTTACTATAAATTTTAATAAATTTCAAGCAATCCTACTAAAAAATTTAAGCACAAATTGATATATAAAATTAAATACTGAAAAATATAATACTCCATCTATTTTTTCTTTATAAAAAAATAACTTCAAACATATATTAAATTTTACTGATTTATAATATCCTCTGTAAATTTATGTGAAAATAAAAGCAATTAATTTTGTATATTTTAAAAGAAATTAAATATATACATTTATCATAAATAAAAACAATATTAATAAAGACATTTATGATTTCCACCTCAGATAAAGAAAAGAAAAACACAAGTTGAAGGATAAATATTTATTATTACGTACTCTTTCATCCATAAATTTAAAGTTAACATTAAATAAATGTTTGAATTTAAATACAGAATAATACTTAATTTCTTGAGTTTCTTTCTATTGGTCAATAACTATTGTGAGCATTAAATACTTTCATCACTCATTAAAATTTTTTATGGTATTAATAACGTATTTAAATTTTTTTTATGTGAATAACCTATGTAAATATTGACCTCACACAGCAACGTCACTTTACAAGCATTATTTTTTAGAATTAAATCAGCTTTAACTTTGTATTTTACTGCATATTTGTTATAAATAAAAATATATATCAAATTAAAATATTTTAGAAAGTGCGTGGGAAGTATTTTTCAGAAACTGAAAATTAGCAACAATAAAATAAATAAAAGAAAAAGAAATGGTTGGGGTATATGGTCGGTCATCCCTATTCTGAGACAGATTCATTAAATAATCATATTTTCCGTTTTCAATCGTCTGGTCCCTCGCATCCGTTCCACTTATCCCTTTATTGAAATTACCATTCTACCCTTTGCCCACCTGCTTCTTCCAGCATCCGACGACCAGATCCATTTCCTGACTGCCTCCACGTTCGCCACTTTATTCAGACAAAAAAAATGCGATTCGATAATAATAATTATCATAGTATTAATAAGTATAATTTTGGTAAATAATAAAAATTAATCAGAAAGCGTGTTATTATTTATTTAGTAATAGTTATCATTTTGGAAAGAATAGAAAGATATTTAATAAAAATATGTAATAAATAACATTTGAATAAATAAGATAAAAAAGAATAGAAAAAAAAAATAGTGGAAATGTTGGAATACAATGGTTGTTTTATATAACTCGAAGACCCATCCCATTCTATTTCCTTCCTTCTTTCCGATTCACAGAAACAACTCCTCTCTACTCACAAACCCTTCTTCCTCATAACAAAAACAACCCAACCTTTTCCCCGTTTTCCCCAAACCCTAAAATCGCCACAACACAGATCCTCATCGTTTCCCATCCAATTCCCCACCGTTTCTCCTCATCCCAAGCACCGTTGCACACACTCAAGGTTTATCCAACACCAACAAAAAAAATTCCGTTTTTGTTTCCTGGGTCCGTTTTTCCTTCTCGTTTATTGGGTATAGGAATGTTGGGTACTGGCTTGAACTTCGGGCCCGCTCGCGGAGAGGATCGGTTCTATTCTCCGGCGAAAGTTCGCCGGTCGTTTCATACCATGGAGAATGACAAGCTGCGTAGGGCCCACAGCGACGTCACCGGGAGAGACAAATCGGTGGATTTTGGTAGCCGGGTACCGGAGAACCGGGTCGGGTCAGAAGAGGAGGAGGCGAAAAAGGGTGGTGCGGTGCCTTCGTGTGAACTGATTGTGAACCGGTTGAGTAATCTGGAGCGGTTCTTGCAGGCGATCACGCCCTCCGTGCCTGCTCAGTATCACCCTAAGGTTTGCTCTTGAGTTACTGTAGCAAGTGTTCTAAAAAAGTTTCTAACGGGGTTGTTGGTGTAATCGTGTTTCTTTTATTAGAATTTGGGTTGTTGGGCTATTGGAAATTCGAATTAGAGTTCCTATCACTGCTGCATTCAACGGTTGGAAGGCTTGGCTTTTATGACCTTGTTTAATTATGGAAGGGACCATGGATTGAAGGGTTTTTTTTTTTTTTTTTTTTATATATGAATTAGTTTTCGTGCTTAAAAAGAAAAAAAAAATATTGCAATCTTTATGAATTATGTTTTACCTATGTGTGTGTGGAACTGTTAAGTGTGAAAGTTTTCCTTGGATCTTGCAGAGGACGGCGAGAGGCCTTAGGGCGTGCGATGAGGAGTCTCAGCCGTACTTTATTCTTGGTGATTTGTGGGAGTCTTTCCGGGAATGGAGTGCGTATGGCGCTGGAGTTCCGCTTGTACTAAATGACAAGGATAGTGTTGTTCAGTATTACGTTCCGTATCTTTCTGGAATTCAAATTTATTCCCAGAATGCGAAGCCAACTGTAAAGTCAAGGTATATTGCATGCTTTGGACCTTGTACAGATGATTGAATTTCGTGGCTAATTGAAAAGGTGCAAAATGAAAATGCAAGACAAACAATGGGGTGGTTTGGGTTGATTCTTTGCATATTCCATTGGTTGTCTATGGGTTTTAAGCATGTTCCAGGATTAAATTGATGTTCATTTTTTGGTTTTCTATCATTTTATTTTCCTTTGAAACAATATTTTTAACTGCTGGCATGATGTAGTTGTCCACTGTATTTTTAACTATATGGTGTGCTGCGCCGATGCTACCTTGTTCTCAGAGGGTTAGCCCCTTGTATGACAATGTTATTGTTTGGTTCTTTGATAGGCAACTTGGGGAGGATAGTGACAGCGATTTCAGGGACTCAAGTAGTGATGGTAGCAGTGATTGTGAACCCGTACATGGAAGGGAATTGAAATACGTGAGGGAACAAAGAAATCTTCCCCATCTGTTGGATGAGGTACCTCAACGCATGGGTAGATTATCTTTGAGAGACCACCATTCCCTTCCACAAGACGGGTTTTCTAGTGATGATGGAGATTCTGTCAATTCTCGGGGTTACTTGATTTTTGAGTATCTTGAACGTGACCCTCCTTACAGCCGTGAGCCTTTGGCTGACAAGGTGTGCTGACTGACTCTACCTCTTTCTGTCGCCAATTGTACTGGATTAGAAGTTCAGTAATTTGTTATCTCTGGTCCTTCTTTGTTGAGTAATTTGATTATGTTTTCTTTTATGTGGTGAATAGATAATGGACCTTGCTTTTCGTTTTCCTGAATTGATGTCCCTTAGAAGTTGTGATATACTGGCATCAAGTTGGATATCTGTAGCCTGGTATTCTTCTTTACGCATGTGTTTTGATTTTCAGCTTCTACATGCACAGTGAACTCACCTGTTCTATGATTTCCTTGTAGGTATCCAATTTACAGGATACCAACCGGCCCAACATTAAAAGATCTTGATGCTTGTTTTCTGACATACCATAATCTCTATACTCCTATGGGAGGTAAGATAATCTTTTGCATCATTTCTGCTGTAGTGGGTGTTGGTTGCTTTATAACTAAGTTTGGGATAAATAATAATGCAATGTATTACATTAAGTAAGTTTTCTTACATTAATAAATATCATTTTCTTTTGTGTTTGTTGTGTTAGGATGCTGGCATCAAAATTGTCTTGTTCAACAACTAAGCCTTTTTCTATTACGAAGTCTGGAGTACATGCGTCATATGACTCCATGAATTTTTATCTTGTTTATGTTTACACTGTATGTACTAATGTATCATTAATTTGGAATCAAGGGTATATATATGCATCCATCCCTTAACATAATATGAAGTTCTAATACTAAATGTTATTTTAGAACCTTTCCCTAATACATGGTACACAAATCTTATTTTAGAATCTCCTTATGCACTGGATAGGATGTATGTTGATGTGTCTTCCATATTTGGTTTCCACAGGCTTTCTTAGTTTACAATTTTATGAGTAATATGGTTTATGTCTTCGTACCTGTTTATTGTGGTTTTTTTCTTTCATTGTTTTTTTTTCTTACTTCGTCAGATTTATTAGGGAGTACCACAGTGAATCATTTTATTGCTTTGTTTTGATGATTTTTGCAATTTTATTTGCCTATAAAGATATTTGGAAAATTTTGAAAGTGCGACTTTTATGTCTTGTTTCGGATTATGAATGCGATTCTGTATTTGTTGTGCTTCTTTACTACTAAAACGATTTTTATTTTCTTGAAAATTATCGTGAGATGCCGCACATGATAACCATTATTATGTAACATGATCTCTTTCTTCTTCCAGGTACACAAAGAATGCAGACCCCCATGGACAATGTCCATATGTCTTTGCCTGTTTCTGGTCTTGCTTCATACAAGTTCAAAGGATCTCTGTGGACTCCTAATGGTGGACATGAACGCCAATTAGCTAGCTCTCTTTTGCAGCGGGCTGATGATTTGTTAAGACTGCTTCAAGTCAGTCACCCAGATTTCCAGTTTTTTAGCCGTTGATGATGTTAAGGTGACTGTAATATTATACTTTGGCTATTTAAAAACTGGTCCTTAGTGTTTGCCAGTGCCTCCTTTGGTTCATTTCTTAGATGTTATACTTGATCGAAGTTGGAGTTAATAACTTATTTGACAAAAGGAAAAGAAAATTGGAGAAGGGATGTTAAGCACTGTCCTTTGTAATTCTCTGCATTGTTTGCTTCCATAATAAGTAAATGAATAGGGAAGCTTGGGACGATTGGCAGTGTTGAGGCTACTTTAAGAATGTGTTCCTGCTGGATGTGTACAGATTGACAAGCAGCTTCTCAAGTGCTGGCTGATTTGTTTGTTTGCTAACATCGGTTGCTTCTTCTGTGTTGGTATGGTTTTGTTAAACAAAACAAAACAGGCTACTTTTTTTCTGTCCTGATGATGCGTTATATAGGACCTAGTTTTGATTTATTGGGGAATTTTACTGGATATGTTAGATGTACTCATGCTTGAATTGCCCCAAACTCTCTGTATTTGAATTCTTATAGTCATCCTTTCTTTTAGATTATTGTAGAATTCACATTGGCTGAACTTGTTTAAAAAATGGTCTTGTAGTTTCTGAATGATATTTTAAAAGTGGGATTAGATGAATCCGGTTTCGCTTGTGAAGTATGCAAGTACAATAACATTAACACTTATTATACTCGGTTCATATTTTATTCTTCTTTCAACTCGAAAATCAATGGATCACAATCATTGATGTTTGAGAATTTGTTTTTATTCATAAAATCTAATGAACAGTTGAGAGCAAAATAATTTAGTTTTTTAAAAGGTAAAGTGATTTAATTTTTAGTTTTCCGAAGAAGTTAAATTTATAAAAAGATTGTAATTTATGAGAAGTTGAATCCATCTCACTTTTATGTTTTTTTCAAGTGTTTATAGAATAATATGTTATACACAAGTCATAAATGTTAATATTTTCCTTTTTAAAACGCATTAGTTTGAACTATCGACAAAATGTTCATAATTGGATTTGTTATTTCAATCAATGTTCTTCTTTTAACTAGACATTGATATCAAGAGAAGGAAACAAAATGAAGTAATCCCAACTACTAAAAACTGTGAGGGATAGGTATAATAAAAACAGAAATGAGAACTTAGTTTAATAGTCTTTAGACATTAAAAAGAATTGAAAATACCTTGTGCAAATTGCGATGTGCCCAAAAGGTACTTTGTGGGGTGGGCATAGTTTGAAGACTACCCTTCTAATAGAAACTAATAGAAACTTAATGACTCAACCATATAACCTTTTATAGGACTGTGGATATAACCTTTATATAAAAGAACATCGTACTTTTACCTGTACCTATATTATCGGCTTGTAGTTTGGGTTGAATTGACAGTTTGAGGAAGATTTACGGCCCAATAGTGTATTCAATCCAAATTACTTGCTTAGAAAGTACACAACATCCTATAATCTCACCTTTAAATTGATTATGTTCGGACTATTGCGTATTTACTAGAAGAAAATTCTGAGCAAATCCAAAGAGAGTAACTTTTTACTTTTTTTGAGATATTTATCAATGAGCACTCTAAATCATTATTACCGTTGAAAAACCTGATTGTATATCCAAAGAGAGTTTGTAGAGATTTTTAGTGGGAGATGTTTATCTTTATTGGAGAATATTTGAAATTGTTTCAAGCATCCTTAACAACCACCTTCATATATGAAATTTATTTGATTGAGAAAACTTTTTGAGGTTGTCAGTGGTTTCATCACTACAGCACAAATGAAGCAAAATCATTCTACTTCCCACTGGCATATAAAGAGAATCCAATATCTTTTTTGGACTGTCAGAAAGAAAGCATCAGGAATCTGAGATCACCCAATGTTCGACGGATTGGTATCTTGTGAATTGGATAGCTACAACCAAAACATAGAACAGGTTAGTCCCTTGTGCAAACTGAATGTCAATTCACTAGATGTGGAAGATTCCTTTGTTCAATCCTTTGTATTTTAATCCCCTTCCGCGTAACCACTGCTACCGTAATCACTACTTCAGTTGAGTCCATGAGATCACTGGTTCTATCCTTCCCTAACTGCCTATCAAAACACCATCAACAACCTAACATTGTCATACAACTTGCTGACTCCAGAAGAACAAGGTAGTATTCACTCGTCTGCACACCATAAAAACCTAATAACTAATGCATCCACCCACTGAAACGCTGCATTACGAAAGCAATAATGGTCATTGGTTCAAGGAAATCAAAATAGTAGAAAACCATAAATGAATATTAATTTATTCCTGTAACAAGGATATATATCCAATGCAAGCGACAAGCGCTTCAGTTCCATGCCCATACAAACAACTCATCATATATTCTTAACAAGAGAACAAGAATTAACTGAACATACATAGTAGTAATTATTGCTAACTAGCACATATTCATGATTATGTGATATTAGTTGAAAATCTTAACTTTAGTATCTTATTCTATAATTTAAATGCAGTTCTTCTCGTTAGTTTGATTTAGGATTTATGATAGATTTTTTTTTTTTTTTTTTATCATCTTATCTCTAGTCATTAGTCTAACACAAGTTCTATAAATGTATTCTACAATCTGGATGAATAAAATTGAGATTTTCCTTAATTAATTGACGATACCAATACCTACCCAGCCTCAAATCTCATTGATTATTTGTACCGGAAACACCAAGACAAGTTCATGCTACATGCATTTATCTAGTTGATCAGAATGTCAGTACTAGTCTCGATTCACAGAGGAGCCAAATCTGTCTCTGAAAATCTCCATGGCATGAAGTCCTTTGCAATCACCACTTGATCATATTTCTCCCTCTCCAACCACATAATTCATGCCTAAGTCAACAACACCATTTTCAGATCATCATAAAACGTTTTCTCTCATACCTAAACATACAATCAAGTGAGGAAATTTTGCTCCACTACCCACCAATTTGTTGCAAAGTTATTTAATACACAGAGAGTGATATAATCAGTTAGGTACGCGGCAACTGTATTGGTGGTAGTGGTAGTTAGATTATTGAAGTAATGCAATCCAAAATTGTACAAATACTTCTCTTTTCATTCTTAATCAATAATTGAATGAAGAAGTCTATTCTTTCCTCTAATACCATCATGTTATGGTATTTGAGCTCAGGGATCCATCTAATAGAGTAAAAGAAAAAATATTACGTAAAATTGTTGAGTTTCTTTTTTATTGTAATATTTTTAAGAATACAGATGGTTCTTTATGTTAATATGTTTTTATTATTATATAAAAACTCTATGAAAATTACATCGCTCAAATGTGGTAACAATAAATAAAATACATTGTATGAATGGAATAATTTATTTTCTTAACCATTTTTAAGGATTGTATAAAATTATCTGTATTGAAAAGTTATATATTTCTTGGGTTCAATTCAACAAAAATAAATGAAAATATGAAAAAAAGTTTTATTTAATTTAGGTAAAAATAGAAATATTTCTATTATGTTAGGTGACTAAAGTATTAAATGTAGAATACGTAATGCAATTTTTATTTATTTTATTTTTTAATTTTACTTGTTTTTTTAAATAACTTAATTATGTTTCATTGCAGATTTTTTTTTTAATTGTTATAATTTTTCTGATCTATGGTTATTAATAAATGGATTATTTTATTTTATTCTTTAAAAGTTACATCACACATGAATTATTAAAGTTAGAGTTTTTTCCTTTTATTTCGAAAACAAATAATTGTTTTATTTATACAAGAATTCATATAATAATGTATAGAACAACATTTATTTTGTCTTTTTTTTCTTCTTTCTAACAAATCATTCATTACATTGGATGTAACATTTGCTATATAGTTTATTTTATTTACATTTTAAGTCTTTCATCAAATAAAACAAGTGAATTTTTCTTAATTATAAGAAATAAAGTGTCATCATCATAACTTCTAATCGATATTTGTCTTTTATATCTTGAGTTATTTATGAATTTATTATCTTTTATTTTTATTTCTTCAATTACTAGTAATTTTATGAGTTTTCCTTTTAAAATATTTATAACATGAACGTTTTGTTCTAGCTTTCATGTGACACTAGTTGTGGTTGGAAATAGGGTAGGGGTGGATGTAGTTTCTTCATCAACCTGATAACGTGCAAATATAGTGGTTATGTATTGAGACTTAGATATCCAAACTAGCACAGCAATGAGTAGTTTATAGAGTAGAAAATGTGTATACAGAGAGTGAATATATACATATATTGAGAGAGAAAGTAGCTTGTTATTGTTAGATAGACAATTAATTAATAAAATACATTTTGTTAGAGATTATGTTTAACATATTATCTGATTTGAATTCTCACGATTTTTTCTTTGAAAAATATTTCGCTGGATTGAGAGAAAGATCTATATAAATGATGTGAAAGTAGTAATTATACCGAAACTTAAAAGTTATTCTCCTCAATGAATAATAAAAATGGTGCCAATTTTAAAATAGGAAGGCTAAGAGGTTGAAAATAGGGGACAAAGTGATTCATGGACACGTAAAATCTCAGGATGAAGGGATTTTGAAGGTTATTGTGAGTACTACACCTCTAGTTATTGTATTTGTTTGGAAAACAACTCTTAACATGATTCAAACGAAAGGAAAAATTATTGAAGAGAAGAATAAATGTTGCCATGTTTTTGTGATTCCTCCTTTGGCATCAAAATGGAGAGGAAAAAGGTGGATGTTCAGAGGCAAACAGGGATTATACAGAAGGATGGGTTGTCCAAGGGACAAGTAGGGAAAAGGATAGAAAAATTTCAACCATAGACTTTTAAGATTAAAGAGATATAATGATAACAAAAATAAAAAATATGATAAAATAAATTTTTTAACTTTGCCATTAATATCTCAAAGAAAGTTAAAAACATCTAAAAACTATTTGAATTAAAATATATATATATATATATATATATATATATATATTATTAATAGTGTTTATTATATTGGATAATTAATACTAAATTAAGGCAGGATATATCTTTAAAAGGATATTAAAAATATATTATAATTTCATTAAAATTAAGTTAGATGATTTGTAATAATGAAAAGAATTTTGTTATTAAACAATTTGTAACTATTATGATTCAATCTTTTAGATGAAGTCCATTGATGATAATGACTTGTTATGTTGAACATATGATATGTATTTTTAAGTAATTACATAAATCAACAGATAATGTTAAATTATTTTAATCTAATATTGACTCATGTAATTTATTTTGGCTCACATAATTTATAAAATAATTTTAATATAAAGATATGTAATGTAATGATGATTAGATTATAAATGTATTAAAGACATAAGAATTATTTTAGAATTATTAAAATCAATTCCTTCTCTTCTCACTTTATTAAAGGTATTATGATATTTTTATAAATATTCTAAAATACTACCTAAAAGTTACTTTGAAGATTAAAAGTTACCTTCCTCAATAGTATAAGATAATTAACTTTGATTGAAGAATGTGTTTTACTGAACACATTCTATATCATAAAAAAAGTCATAAAAAGAAAATAAAAAAAATAAAATATATTTCTTTACCATTAGAATGTAAACATGTAGTTTTAAAAAATATGTGATATAATTGATCTAATACAGTCTAATTTAATTAAGTATAGGTTAGGTTAAATTTTAAAAAATATAATATATTTTAATTTAAAATTAATTAATTGATTTACGTGATGAATTTGATCAAATTCTATCAAATCTAATTGAACTTGTATCCACCTTTATATTATATTAGTTGATATTGAAAATAAAGTAAAAAATATTTAAATTTGTTCTGTTTAAGAACGAAAATATTCTTACCTCATATATGTTATGATAATATTATTAGAATCAATTTATAGGTATTATCCACTTTCGAGCTCTCGTCTGTTACGATTTTATCCTTAAAAGATATCTCAATGGGTTAAGAGAGGGTGTATTTAAACTACCCTTGGTCTCCACTGTTGAACGATGTGAGACTCGTAAACATACCAGAACATAAGCTACCCACTCGAGGAATAAGGGATATGAGTGGAACGAAACTCTACACTCGACCTTGTGAAGAAAGAAGTCCCACATCCGTGGGAACTTCAATTGGGGGCTCTCCTCCTTCCTATAAAAGGAGCCCCTCCCCCCTTATTTCAAACATCCCAAATATTTCTCCTTCTTTCTCTTTTACTTTCCTAGTATTGGTAATTTCCAATTGTAAAAGGAAAGAGTGGTCATTATAAAATTTTCATTTTTGCCTATTGTCAGGGTTATTTTTCTCGTCTCTATTTTAGTTGTGTGTATTTATGCTGGTACTCTGATCCTAACAGTGGTATCAGAGCTGCGTTCGAGTTCCGTTGCGCGTCACTAGAATAGTGTTGGTAAAATTCTGAGTATGCTCGTGGTTGCGGTTTAATCGATCTTCCACATCGGAAAGGAGTTGTTACTTGGAAAAGGTGTGGTAGTGTGAAAGTACTATTGAGGAAAGTTCTGGCTAGGAAAGACTTGGTACTTAAGCGTGTCCATTAGTGACCCACCTCTCTTTCCTGGGAACCTACTTGGTGTACTGGTTCACGGTTTACTACTATTGTTCCGGTAGACAATACTATTTATAAGTGATAGTTGCATAAGTCTGTATACAACCATGGCAGAAAAGTACGAGATAGAGAAGTTCAACGGGAACAATTTCTCGTTGTGGAAATTGAAGATGAAGGCAATCTTGAGAAAGGACAATTGCGCAGAAGCGATTGAGGGAAACCTGCGAAATGACGGATAAAGATTGGAAGAAAATTGACGGCAACGCTATTGCAAATTTACACTTGGCAATGGCGGACTCGGTTCTATCCAGTGTTGCGGAGAAAGATTCTGCAAAGGAGATTTGGGATGCCCTCATTAAATTATATGAGGTGAAGTCACTTCACACAAGGATATTCCTGAAGAGGAAACTCTATACTCTTCGGATGAGTGAGTCCACATCGGTGACGGACCACATCAACCAACCGAACACCTTGTTTGCCCAATTAGCGGCAGCAAATTTCAACATAGTTGAGAATGAGCGTGCGGAGCTCTTACTTCGAGCTTGCCGGACTCGTATGATCAACTCATCATCAACATTACAAATAATAATATTGAAGGACAACTACACTTTGACGATGTTGCTGGAGCTATTCTAGAAGAAGAATCCAGGCGAATGAATAAGGTAGAAAGTTCTAAACAAGCAGAAGTTTTGACGATGATGAGAGGAAGATCGGCGGAACGTGGCTCAAGTGGGAGTCAAGATCATGGCAGATCTAGCTCTCGAAACAAGAAGACTTTCAAATTTAAATGCTACTACTCGTGGCAAGAAAGGGCACACGAAGAAAGAGTGTTGGAAGAGGAAGAATGAAGAATCAACCTCACAAGGTTGCATTGCGAGTACTTCGGAGGAAGGAGTAATTCGGTAAGCGAAGCGACGAATCGGCTCTAATGGCGGAAACGAATTTCATGACAAGTGGATAATGGATTCGGGTGCAACTTGGCATATGACCCCACACCGAGATTGGTTTCAAACCTACAAGCCTATCTCGGGTGGATCCGTGTTCATGGGAAATGACCATGCATTGGAGATTCTTTGGAGTTGAGTACTTGTCAAATTAAAAATGTATGACGGTACTTATTCGCACAATCCAAGAAGTACGACATGTGAAGGACTTGAAGAAAAATATATTGTCTATAGGGCAATTGGATGACCTCGACTGCAAGATCCATGTTGAAGGAGGAATCTTAAAGGTAGTGAGGGGAAACATAGTTGTCATGAAAGCGAGAGAAAATCATGGCAAACTTGTATGTGCTTATGGGAGACACCTTGCAAGAAAATCATGCAACAAGCTGCGTCGACAAGCCAAGAAGAAGCGGCGATAACGTGGCACCGTAGACTTGGACATATGTCGGAGCGAGGTCTGCAGATTCTTGCGGAACGTGATCTCATACACGGGCTCAAGAAGGTCGATTTACCCTTCGTGAGCATTGTGTGACAAGCAAACAACACGGGTTGAAGTTTGCAAGAACCACCACAAGGAGTAAGCAAACTTTGGACTTGATCCATTCGATGTCCGGGAATCACCGGAATTATCTCTCGGAGGAGCAAAATATTTTGTGTCGTTCATCGATGACTACTCGAGGAGATTATGGGTATACCCTATCAAGAAGAAGTCCGAAGTATTTGCGCGGTTCAAAGACTTCAAAGCACAAGTAGAACTTGAGGCCAGGAAGGAGAATCAAGTGTTTGAGGACGGACAATGGAGGAGAATATGTAGATGGAGATTTTCTAGCATTACGCAAGCAAGAAGGAATTGTGAGACAATTTTACGTTCCACACACGCCTCGGCAGAATGGTGTAGCGGAGCGGATGAATAGAACTCTTCTAGAGAGAACCAGAGCTATGCTTGCAAGCTGCGGGCATAACAAAGTCTTTACGGGCGAAGCCGTGAATACTGCTCTGTTACTTGATAAATCGGTCTCCATCAACGGCAATTGGGTTGAAAACTCCTATGGAAATGTGGAGTGGAAAATCAACCGATTATTCTTCCTTACATGTGTTTGGTTGTCCCGCGTACGTGATGTACAACACCCAAGAAAGGACGAAGTTGGATCCAAAATCCAGGAAATGCATCTTCTTGGGATATGCTGACAATGTGAAGGGGTATCGCTTGTGGGATCCCACTGCCCACAAAGTTATTGTTAGCAGAGATGTCGTCTTTGCGAGAAAATGAACTGCAAAGCAAGCGGATAAATGACGACTCGGAAAAGGACAAGACTATAGTACGAGATAGAGAAGAAGACTTCGAACATTCCTCCGAGTCGGAGGAGGAGCATGAAGAACATGAGCCAAATGAGGTGGAAGAAGGAGAACTCCGACGATCAACAAGAGAAAGAGTCGGACCATCTTGGCATTCACAATATGTGATGGCAAGTCATGATGCGTATTGTCTCCTAAGTGAAGAAGGAGAACCTTCAACTTTTCAAGAGGCCGTGAGTGGTTCGAAGCTCCTCTATGGATGGCTGCTATGGAAGAAGAAATTGAAGCTCTTCATAAAAACAAGACATGGCATCTTGTGGAACTTCCAAAAGGTCGCAGAGCCATTGGTTGCAAATGGGTCTATAAGATCAAGAGAGATGTCAATGATCAAGTAGAAAGATATCGTGCTAGGCTGGTGGTAAAAGGATATGCTCGGAAAGAAGGCATTGATTTCAACGAGATATTCTCACCGGTTGTTAGATTGACAACAATCGGAATTGTCCTGGCGATGTGTCTTGCATTTGATTTACATCTTGAACAATTGGATGTAAAAGCTGCTTTTCTTCATGGAGAACTTGAAGAGGAAATATATATGCTCCAACCGGAAGGCTTCAAAGAGCAAGAAAACTTGGTTTGCGAGGTTGAACAAATCTCTATACGGTCTAAAGCGAGCGCCAAGGTGTTGGTATAAGAGATTTGATTCCTTCATTATTAGCCTCGGATACTACGGACTAAGTTCGGACCATTGTACTTACCACGATAGGTTTGAAGAAAATGATTTCATCATATTGTTGTTGTATGTGGATGACATGTTGGTGGTAGGCCCTAACAAAGCTCGAATCCAAGAATTGAAGGCACAATTGGCTAGGGAGTTTGATATGAAGGACTTGGGACCAGCAAACAAGATTTTAGGGATGCAAATTCACCGAGACGAGAAAAGATAGGAAGATTTGGCTTTCTCAAAAGAATTATTTACTTAAG